TTCACAACTGAAAAACCAGATCTTAAACTGTAAGGACCTAACAAAGACACAGAAGGTCCTCACTTTCCAGGGATAACTATTCTCTCTCCTCCCATAGGTGACTTTCAGAAATCCATTTATAATGGGGACCAAAATTTCATATTAGTGATCAAAAGAAGCTCTGAAACTTTACTTTGAAATTAAAATTATGAAAAACTAATTTTTAACTTAAAATATTTACTTAAAAATTACTTACAAAAGCATTAAGTCACATCCATGTCTTTTTTCTAGGAAGCAACTGTTGTGACACCAAGACAGGCTCCATTTTACCCTACTCTGAATTCTAGGGGCTGAGAATTACGGCCATTTTTTTGCAGAAATAGTCAAGCCTCTAAATTCCTAAAGGACACTCCCCAACCTGTTTGATATTCCAATCCTCCTTTTCCAGAGCATCTATCCTGCCCTAACCCTCCTTTTCTTCCACTGAGCAGCCCCTTCCCCAAGTGTTGGCTATCCTATCTTCATCCAATCTCCTTTATCAGTAACCAGGCAGCACTTTCCTCAATTTCATCACAGCCAGCCTCTTGTGCTAGATTTTCAATTTCACCTTGCAGAGAGATTGGCTGTGGTACAATGGGTAGGAATGAGTGATGCTATTATTAGGTAGGAAGGAGTATTTGAGCTCATTTCATAAATGATCAGCACAGCAGCAAATATATGCAAAGTGTGATCATTCTTGCTTCTCCCTACCACCTTATACTTTTGGGGTCTAAGAGGAGGAACACTCAAAAAACTGAGGGATGACTGAATCATACTAATTAGATTCACAGGAAATTGTATAAGGCCCATGTGTGCCACCTCACATTTTGAGGCAGATCTTGCAATCTCTCTCCCCTGCATCCTGTGATGTTTATAGGAAGAGATTGGAGTGAAAGAAAGACAACTATAGTGATGATGGCTATGGTCTGAGGTGGGCCCTGATGGGCTCTCACCTGTGCCCTCCCACATGGTAGCCCCCAGGATGTGCTGGGCAGGTCACACTGGCTCTACTTTAGATAGTGCCAAGTCAGGCTGGAGCAACAGAGAGAGAAGGGGTCCTGGCTGCTCTTCCAAGCTCTGATTCCCTCAGGAAAAGAGGAAAGAGAACACACATGAAATTAGAAAAGAACCCATACCCAGGGCCCTGAATGGTGTGGCTGACCATGTCCTATTAATGGCATCTACCAAATTCTCATAAAGTTCACACAAAGAACAAAATTTTCTTTGGAGGAATGGAAGATGTCAAAAATTAAATAGCGTCAAGGGACCTGCAGAGAGAATACTGCATATGACTGCTGCACACTGCAAGCATGCCTGAGAGGACAACCTTTGAAAGGCCAAGCCCCAACTAAAGCCTTGTCAGAAACCAGTCCTCCTGGGGTCTGCCAAAGGGCTGGAGGGCTTCTCTTGTATTATGCTCTTCCTGGGACTTCAAAGGGCACCAGTAAGGCTGTGGCTCAGTATATGAGGTCTACACTCCCCCCTTCACTTGTGCAGGACTTTTCTTTACCTATAAACTGATGAGGTTTCCGAAGCTATTGAAAACTAAATAGCAAAGCACTTGTGGATCAGAGGGTTAGAGGTCAGGAGTTGAGGGCATGAAAGAATGGCAGCAACCAGAGGCCAGGTTGCACAGACCCAGGAACCTATCCACATACCTGTCCACATCTCTATGTCAGAAGCCCAGGTAGAGAATATATCTCACACTGTCCATTTTGTTCCCAAAAGTGTGCAAGTTCAACCAAAAGATGGAATAAGAACTAGAACCAAAGGCAGCTCCAAAATAAGCATTTTACCTTCACTACTCCGAAAATTCTTTCATTAATCCCTCTCCTCTTACCTGCTTTTTCTTCATCTTAGTCAAGGATGAAAGCAGAATGGCAAGCTCACAAAGGCAGGTCACCAGACAAGTTTCCAAGGGCAGAAACCTCCTTTCCAGAAAAGAACAAACAGTGCAGGTTGCCACATGGACTACCAGGCAAAGGCCAGGGTTCAGTTGATGCTACTCAAACTTCCACCGCACCAGGCAACTGCTTATCATCTCTGAGGACTGCAGACACTGTCTTTCCAGAAACACCTGTCCTAGGCATATGTAAGTCTGAGCAGCTTCTCATCAACAAGGTTTTTTTCTATTGGCCAGACCAGGGACTCTCTTCTCTCAACTCTTTCCCTTTCTAAGCCACAAGTGAAAAAGGTTTTGGTGGCCTCCCCATCGTTTTGGGTAAGCTAGCAGCCAGGGGCAAGTTCCAGACAGAGCTATTTCTTGATATCAAAAGTTTAGTTCCTTTAAGCCCAGAGGTCCCATGTTAATGATCATGGGAGTTGCCAAATAGCAAGGGACTTTCTGAGGCTTACTAGATTAAAGGGATTACCTCCTTTAATCATAGGCACCAGTCAACCACTACTCTGAGTGTACTATTCCTCCTCCTTATCCCTTCTGAAAGGTTAGTCTGATAGATTGGGAGTAGCAAACCACCCTTCCATGAACATGGTAGGCAATCCCAGCAGGCTCTCCTCCAGGCAAAGATAACAGGAAGTAAATACACTGAGGTCAGTACTGGGGTTGAGGTACATGCCTCTCCCTACTTCCCCCCACCCCTAAGGCAGGCAAGGAAATGTGGCCAATAAGAGAGTGGGCAGGGAGGAAGCATTAACTTGAGCATTACTGCCCCTTAGATATGTCATCCATCAAGGAAGCGCTCCCACCACCTCTAGGTGAGTTAAAACACAGAGCTCCTGGTTGCTTCAGTGCCCACTCTTAGTTCTATACCACATGGCCTGTGAGCCGAGTTCTAACAGGCAAGCTCGGAGGTGTGGCAGGGTGGGAATCCTCACAGAGGGGAAGCCAACCAAGCCAGCCCCCAGGCAGGGCCCAGAGCAGCAGTGCCTTGTGGCCTGCTGAAAGCTTAAGGCATTAGTCTTTAACCTAAGGGGTACAGGGGAGGTGCCATCACAGAATTACAAGGGGGTGGAATGAAACTTAGCAGAATATCACCCATTGGCAGTACTGGGAGAGGCCCCAGAGATGGGGCAAGACAACCACGTGGCACTACTTGAGCAGTCTCCACTAGAAGTAACAATAGTTCTGTGGAAGGATAAGGAAGATGAGATACAGAGAGATTGGACAGGCCAATGATGAAACAATGTATACCAGAGAGTGATGGGCCTGAGATCTGCATACCTAGACAAACAGTGCTCATGTGTGCTAGGCAGAGTCACCCTCAGGAGGGCTAGGCTCCAGGGTCAGGATCATGATATTGTGCCAAACACCCACCCAGACCCTAACAAAGTGATTGGCATATGGTGGGCTCATTCATTAGAAAAGCAATAGCAAGGGACTTTCTGAGGCTTACTAGATAGAAACCTAAGGGTGAGGAAGCAGTCAGTATTCAGAGCCCAAGTGGTTTGCACAAGGCATGATACTACCATTGCTAGAAGCTCATGAAGGGCAAGAAACAGGAATCCCAGCTGTCTGGGTCCAAAAATGCTCTATAGTGAAGATCACCTATCTTCCCATTTCCTAGTACTAAGACACAGAGCCAACTCCAGTTACATACAGGTTTGGAAACCTGAAGATTCCCCAAAGCCCTTAGATACAATGTCATACATCAAGAGAGCACTCCCACCACCTCTTTTCAACAAGTTGTACAAGTGAAAACTGAAAGGAGAGAGGGAAAGGGTCCTACTTTGGGTCCAAAGTGCATTCTCAGGCTTCAGGTAATTAAGAAAGTAATTTTAACCCAAACCAGATGAAATAAGTTGCAGAACATGCAGCTTTAACATGTATCACAGATGCTTTAAAGTAGGATCAATTTATTCTCACTTTCATGAGAATAAACAGACCTATAAGAGAGTTCCTTTAAGAAGTAATCCCAATACTTAGCCAACTGTGAAATCAGTAAGACTCTAATGTTTGTGGCAATTCTGACACCTGGGAAATCCTTAGGTACCTTTTAAATGAGCATGCAATTGTGCAAGGAGAGTTTATGATTTAAATCTTGAAATACTGAAATAAAACCTATGTGCAAATGTTATTTCTAGATGCTCAGAAAAGCAAAGAAAATCACAGGGACTGGATAAGTAACATTGGTACCTGAGCAGGCTCACCTAGGACAGCTCCATCCAACCACACACGTTTTTTATCTGGCCTAGCCATCTGTAATTGCACTAAACTTAAGTAGAACTTCTAAGTCCCTAGTCTAGCCTGTTGTGGAAACATTTAAAATAAAGGTGGCATCTTCCAAAAAGTTAAGTATGTGCAATAAACGTTTTTCTTTTCTTTGGGCGCTACTGGTTTTTTATAAATGCAGTTGATGCTTTTTATGTTAATTTCAGCACAAAATTAAATTAAATCACAACACACAAGCCCTCTCAAATTGTTTTACTACCCCCAAAAAGGTCATCTTTTAGAAGGACTTTGCCAAAAAAAAATAAATATTAACAATATTTACCTTCAATTTGATTCAAGTTCCTGGCAATACTACATCCTGCAACTTAGCTTACATAAAACGCCATACCTACCTGCATCTCGCTTTGACAAAAGGTCTGTCCCTAAGCATTCTGGGGGAAGGAAAGGGGGAAAAGTATCCGATCCCCCTTCCCTGTCTCAAGAGGCAGAAACAGCACACATCTACACAAGTCGAATTGATCGCTGCTCGTTTATAAAAGGAGCTTCACATTTCTTTAGAAATGAAGATTTACTCAAGGCTTTGCAAATATGCACACACAACTAAGCAATAACCAGAGCCTTCAGATGAACATTTAAAAGTAAATAAATAAATGAGAACCTTCTAGCACAGTCGGACCTTGGTCTCCAACATCCACCCCTGAAATAAAACGAGAGCCCAGACGGAGAGATGTCTGAGCGCCCGTAGCACCCACCGCAGGGTCGCTGGCTGGCCAGGCCTGGTGCCCAACCCCTAACCCCACCGGTCCCCGGTCCCCTGCCCCCGCCCCTCCCCCGCCGCCGCCCGCACACTCACCCCTGGATGCCTGGGCTGTACGCCCGGCTCTTCCACGGGGTGCCGGGCCGCGGCGCCTGGGGGCCCGGGCCGCCCCCTCCGCTCAGCGCGGCCGCGCGGCTGCCTGACAGCAGGTAGTTGAGGCCGTACGTGCTGGCCTTGTTCTCGCGTTTCCGGCGGCCCGGGTGGAACTGGTGCTGCGGCGGGGAGCCGGCGGGCGCGGGGCCGCGCGCCCCGGGGTGCCCGTTGGCCGCGCCGGGGGCGCTGGGCGGGCCGTCGGCGAAGTGGAAGAAGGCATCGCCGCCGCGGCCGCCGCCGCCGCCGCCCGCCCGGCTCACCGAGGCGCTGCTCGAGGACGACGACGAGCAGCCCGGGCTCTCGGTGCCCGACTCGGCGTTGGACGAGGACGAGGACGAGGACGAGAGCGACGGCGACTTGTGCAGGCGCCGAGCACCCTCCGCCGCGGGCCCGAGCGCCGTCAGCAGCGCCGGGGGCAGCGCGGCGGGGCCGGCCGCGGGCGGCGGGGGCGACGCGGCGGGCAGCACGGGCCCGGCCAGGCCGCCGCCGCCGCCCAGCCCGGCCGCCCCCGCCGAGGCTGCCGTGTCCAGCGCGGGCGAATTGAGGCAGAAGTAAGACGCGAAGCCCGAGCCGCCGCGGCCCACGCCCTGCGAGGTCTCCCAGATCTGCATCCACAGGGCATTGGCCGGCCCCTTCTGCTCCGGCTGGATCCAGGCCACGCGCGGATCCATCCACGCACCGCCCCGCGGGCCCGCGCGCCCGCCCGCCCCGCCGCCGCGGCCCCGCCCCCGCCGCGCCCCGAGCCCGGCCGCGCCGTGCACGGACCGACGGACGGGCTGCGGGTGGACAGACGGGCGGGCGGACGAGCCTGCGCTGCGGCTCCGGCCGGGTCGCGGCGGCGGCGGCGGCGGCGGCGGGTCGCGGGGTCCCGGAGCGGCGCGGGCCGACCCGAGCAGGCCGCGGGTCGGCTCGGGCCTGTCGGGCTCCTTCAGGCGGCGCGGGGCGGGCGCGAGGGCCGCGACGGCGGCGGCGTTCCACAGGGGCCGCGGGGAGAGGCCATGGGAGAGGGGCAGGCGGCCGGGCAGAGGGGGCGGGCCCAGGCGCCGCGGCCCGGGACCCGCGGAAGGGCCGCCGCCGTGCGCCGGGCCCTCAGTCACGCTCGCGCCGCTGGCTCCGTGCTCCTGCAGCGGCGGCGGCGGCGGCGAAAAGACACTCTCCGCGGCGACAGGGTGCGGGGGAAAGGAGGGGGCGCCGCCGCCTCCGCTCCAATGAGGGGCGGAGAGGGAGCGGGGCGGGGGCGGGGCGGGCCGGGAGGAAGCGCGGCCGTTCACGGCGGGGCCGGGGCGCCAGTGCGCAGGCGCGGCCAATTTTAAATCCTCAGTAGACACCGCCGCCTTGGTTACCGCGCCTGCGCCGGGCGCTCCTCCGGGCGGGTGGGGAGCGCTGGAGTCGGAAGGATACGCGACTGGGAGGGGCTGACTCCAGGGTGGCGGCGGAGGCGGCCTGGGCCCTTCCAGCCTACCCTGGGCAGCGGCGAGAAGGAAAGTAACGGGGAGGTCGGGGCGCCGTCCTTGGCCCGGCTGCTTCCGCCAGTCCCGCCTTCAGCCTCTGTGCGGGGGCGGAGGCGGAGGCGGAGGCGTGGAGACGGGCGCGCTGGGGCGAGGGTCCCTGTCAGCCGGCGGGCCGCGCTGCGCGTGCGCAACGGCTAGAGGTCGCTGCCGCCGCCGCCGGATGGAAGTGTCTGAGCCGCCCGGTGGGCGGACGCATCGCGCTATGCAGTCCGCCCTCCTTATATAAAGGCCGGAGCAGCCTAACCGCGCTGCTCCGGGGGGGGAGACAAAAATGCCCAAGTCCACTCCCGTCCATCTTCAGGGCTCCTTGTGCAGCCGGTTACGCTACAGGCACTCGTGTCTCTACCCGCCCACGTGCTCCCCTGCGGCCTGGGCGATGCTGTGCCAGAGCAGGAGGATGGGGAAAAGGGGGGAGCTTGGCAATACCCTTCTCTGAGGGTCACCTCACCGGGGTTTTTTTGTTTATTTTGTTTTTTACCTGTTTCCTTTTATTAATAGTTTTGTGTGCAGCAAACGAGGTTCAGTCTTCCAAGTCACCTCACTGGTGCGGTTTCCGGAAGCAAACTTGGCCGCGCTACCCAGCTGCCCGCCCATGGGAGAAACACTCCGTGTACTTGTGTGTAAGGCCTCGTGGCCTTGATTATTCAAGCTGGCATCGAGTTGGCAGGACTTGCTAGAGAGTCGCCCAGCTGTCTGCTGTTTGACTTCCCAGTGTCCAGAGGATGCTATGAGCCCGGTTTAACAATGGTGTTTGGAAGGCAAGGCTGAGAGCACATTCTGTGACGTCCAAAGCAAAGGCCAGTGTCATATAAACCTGCAGTGCCATGCAAGCCCACTCCACTGGCCCCACCCTACTCCCAGGCCTCCCGCCCTTCCTGGTCTAAGCCCAATGACCACTACTCGCTGGCAGCTTCAAGGAACACAAGCCAGGGCTCCCACAGCAGCACCAGGGCACCACTGCTTTTTAACATAACCTGAGCAAGGTCTTTTTAAGAGCATTATATTTTAAACTAGAGGTCTGTGCATGAAATTTAGTGCACTGGGGGGTGGGGGTCAGGAGGGTGTGGGGGGGGGGTATTCAGCCCAGCCTGTGCCCTCTCGAATTCTGGGACCCCTGGCTCCTTACCTGACTTGAGACTCCCCAGCCATCCCTGGGGCACTCGAAAGCCATGAGTGGGGCTTCTGTGGGAGCTCCTGCATTAGGCATCTGCCCCCTGGTGGTCATTGCACATCATAACAACCCGTCCTTCTGCTGTGGTGAATTTACATATTAGGGTTTTATTTTACAAGACTAGTGGCCCTGTGCATTAAAAGGGGATTAGAGGAAATATTTTAATATTGCTATTTGCCCTTTCTCTGTAATAGAAATGTCAGAAATGAAAGAAAATTAGTAACATGTATATGAAAATCCTGCTGTCAGAGTCCGTGGTGCACCACAGGATCCAGAACCAATCCCCATCCACCCATGGTGCCTCAAAAATAACACGAGAACCAGACCCTGCCAGCCACACCCTTCGTGGGTGAGATCCAGACCCAGCTGGCCCCACTCTTGTCAATCCCCGCTGGGCGGGAAACACAACCTCAGATCTCCGGTCAAGCCCCGCAGTGTAGGGGGAGCAGCTTCAGAACCCCCTGGGTGGGGGGGTTCTTAGCCTTAGGTGCATGCTGGGGGAGGAGAAGTGCAGCCTCAGGTCCCCTGGCCCAGCGCCAGGGTAGGGGGCATGGCCAGAGGTCCTTCAGCCTGGCGCCAGGGAGGGTAGCACGACCTGAGGTCCCCCATCAAGCCCTGCTGGGCAGGAGTCGTGGTCTGAGATCCCCCATCAAGCCCCATTGAATGGGGGGTATGGCCTGAAGTCCCCCGGCCTGGTACTGGGGTGGGGGGCACAGCCTGAGATCCCCTGTCAAGCCCCACCAGGTGGGATACCCTGCCTCAGGACCCTGCTGTTTGCTCATTAAGGCTGTTAAGGCTTGTTATGGAAACCCGGCCTCCACTGTGGGCACTGGCATCTTTGTGATGGTGTGGTCAATTTGCATATTCCCTCTTTATTAGATAGGTGGCTCTCTTCCTCATCTATACCACAGATGAGCACTTGACACTTCAAATATTTTAACAACATGAAAGATTGTGTGTTGCATACTAAGGTTTTTTGGCAAATGGTGTTAATGTAAAAAATGAACATTTTGGTTAATACATTTTTTCAGTACTAGTATATTGTACATATGGAAAATATGACAAGGATTAGAATGTGTATTAAATTACAAAAAAAAATCACACAAAAGTCAGAAAATCACACAAAAGTGAAAAAAAAATAATTGTTATTTTAGGACCCTTAGCAATCCTACCAGGCTCCCCTCTTCATAACCAACATATCCTCTTGGTTTCACCTGCAAGAAACAGCAAAATCCAACTGCTATTCTCCTCCCTCCTTAATTCCCCCACCTTTACCCCCTTCAAGCCACCACTTTTTATACCTTCTTTAAAAACAGTGCCTCCTAGCTAGTTTCCCACATTCCATTCCTACCTTTTTTGCCATTTTCTCAATACAGCAGCTTGAGAGATCTTTATTTTTTTTTAATGCTACTTTGAAAATTCAGATCATATCACTCTTTTGTTAATAGTTTTGTGTGCCTCCATGGCTTTCTCTCTCAATCAGCCTTACTACGTATAACCTGCAAGTCCCTACATTGCCTGGTCCTCCCTCTCCCACCTCCTTTCCCAGCTCTTACCCTAACCTAGCCTGCTCCAGCCACAGCACAGCTGGCACACTCCCTTGAAGCCTTTGCACTTACTGTTACATGCTTGGGATGTTCCTCCCCCATATGTCCACATGGCTCCCCACTCCAGTCTCAGGTCTTGGTGAGGACTTCCAAGTGACTCCTTAAACTGCCACCTAACCTTCAACACTCCCTACTTCCCTTCCTTGCTTTATTTTTCTCTTAGCATCTATCTTCATTAGTTTCCTAGGGCCATGAAACAAAATACCACAAATTGAGTGGCTTAAAACAACAGAAATTCTCTCACAGTTGTAGAGGCTAAAAGTCTAAAACCAAGATGTCGCCAGGACCATGCTGTCTCTAAGGGCTGTAGGAGAGAATCTGTTCCTACTTTCTCTTAGCTTCTAGTGAGGGGGCAATTCTTGGCATTTCTTGCTTATACATGCATCACTCTAATCTCCAATCACTGCCTCCCCCATCAGTGCAAGGAATTCTCCCTGTGTCTGGGTCTTTTCTCCTTTTGTTATAAGGATTAGGGCTCACCTTAATGATCTCATCTTAGCTTGACTACATCTGCAAAGAGCCTATTTCTAAATGAGGTTACATTCTACTGGTACCAAACTTTAGGACTTAAACACATCTTTTGGACAGTCACACAATTCAACTTTATACCATCTAATATAAAATGTATCTTTTTCATCAGCTGTGTCCCCTAACCCCAGTAGAATGTAAGATCCACAAGGAGAAAAATTTTTACTTGTCCTTTTCCATACTGTGGGCCAGCCCAAGGACTGTGTCTGCCACATGGTAGGTCCTCAGTGAACATTGGTGGAATGATAAAGGATCTACTGACCCACCCAAGGGGAATATAAAAGCAGGCGCTTACCTTGCCAGCTTCCAGGATCTATTATATGGATTGACATTGTTTACGTCTTTTCAATATTTTAAGCTTCCCCCCCCCCCCCTACAGTCTGATGCTCCATCTTTGCTGTTTGCCTCTAGCTAATGCCCTTAGTTTGATTCATCAGCCACCATTCAACTTCTTGTAATTAGACCTGGGATTTTATTACTTGTGTATTTGGTCATAAATCTTTTTAGGTAAATTAGAAGCAATATATTTCTTAATGTAAATCAAGAAGCACTACTGAGAGTAAAATGCAGTCCTCTGGGCAGGGGAGGTCTTTCTCATTGCTTAATTAGCTTCACAGATGAGCCCAGCATTTTCCCTTTGTGGCCCAAACTCACTCCTTTCTTTCTCCTGATATTAGAGGAGGGGTAATAGTAGAGATCACATTATGGTTTGTTCTCACAAATAAATGATTTCCAAAGTGTGGCCTACAATGGACTTCTTGCACCAGAATTAGATATGCTGATTAGTTTATGCATATCTGGGGCTCACCTGACTTTCTAGGAATGAGGCCAGGAATCTGTATTTTAAGTAAGTT